ACAGATGAAAGTGATTTTGCCATCAAATTGAGTCAAGTAATAGAAATCGGTTTTATTTTTCCTCAATATTATTTGAATCAAATATAAAACAAGCAATCAACATTCAAATCATCTGTTAGTTAACTCCAATAATTTGGATCAAATTTTAATTAGAATATCTTCATGTACCTTAATAAAGTATTTTCTAAAATGTTGACTGTGACCCATAGCAAGAAATACACTGAATAGCACAACCCAATATACATATACATAAATATAATGGAAACAAAAATTTATGGAACAATACTTAACCTTACTAAATTCAGGATATCATGATGCTTTCTACTATACTGTATTGTTTGCTATTTAATCTATTTAATTGTTGGTTAAAATCCACTAGTCAGATTTCAGGACCCATTAATGGATGGTAATCCACAATTTGAAAAACACATCCTTAAAGAAGGTCAGAGCATTGCCATGTCTACATTGTCTCTTTTTTGGAGGGGGGTCGCACTTTATTCAATGACTTATAACAAAGTGGAAACTCATCCTCAGAAGCGAGGTCTCTGCAAGGTTTTAACTAAATCAGTTACCTGACAAAGCAGAAAACAGTGTTCAAAATACTGATTATGTTTTATGTTATCACACAGTTAATTCTTAGGATACCCTTACAAATTTTGTGTCCCTATGTCTAATATCTGAAAAAAATATTTTTACCTCTTCTTTTCGGTCCGCTTTAATTTGTCCAGGTATACAGATTATTAAAGGAAAGACAATGAGTTGAAATTAGAGTCAACCCTTGATAAGCAACCAGTTATTTGACCAAATTTAAACAACTATTTCAAAATTACTAGTTTATTTGACAAACTCAGTCTTAGCCTTTCTCGCTTTTCATTCCTATCTGGTTTTTCAGCATATAGAGACGTCTTTTAAGTTTTCATGGCTTTATATATTTATTTACTCAGGTACAGTTTTGATTTTGTGAAGAAATGGGTTTGTTGAAACTTTAAACCTCTGGAAAATAAGAACTGTGTTTTGTCTCTTGCATAATTTCAGCAAAATAGCATGGTGTTTGGTATCTGATATGTGGTCGGTATGTACTTGAGGAAAAATGGAGAAAAGTCTTTGTACTTATAGAAGAAGTGAGCACAGGAAAAACAACAACAAACTAGAGATCACTGAATCCAGAGACTACATGTTGGGTTCTTACTGGGATTTTTAAAAATACGCTAATTCCTTATGCCTAACCGCAGAAAATACAAATCAAAAATTCTATGGATTGGAGCTAGACATCACTTTGTTTTTAAATTTAAGCACTTACCTAACCTTAGTCTAAACTCCTCTTTACAGATTAAGAAACTGACCTCCAGAGAAGCTCTCGTAAAGATGAGCAAAAGAAGCCAGACAAAAGAGTACATACCAATTGATGCCCAATTTATATGAAATTCAGGATTAAAAAACACTAAACATGAAAACAGAAATAATAATAATAATGGTGAACTTTTCAGGAGTATAGCCTAGAAAGGGGTACAAGGGAAACAGGCATGCTGGAAGTGTTCTTTGTTTTGATCTGAGCAGCAATTACACAGGTGTATACATATAAAATATCAATCAGCTGTGCACTTAAAATTAGAGTAATTCATCCAATTTCTATGTATATTTTACCTTAATTTCTATTATAGCACTTTATACACCCTTTTACATATGCCTTAATTCAATTTAAAAATAAGAATAAATTATTGATTTCTTGTTTTATTGAAAATAGACTCTAGGAATTAAGGATAAAGCTGTCACGTGGCTGCTGCAAGTTATTAAAGTGAAAGGTGATAGTGTTTTAGACAAGGGTAGTGGCAGTGATGATGATGGAAAATGGTCAGATACTGGATATATTTTGCAGGGATTTCATG